GTTACACGGCGCAGAAAATTGACCATTGAGAAAACAGGATAAAGATAGACTGTCTGTATGTGAACACTTCGCTGTCCACGCAGCATCGCACGAATTTAGTGGGGCAGCCGGGCGAGCAATGCTGATGTTAGACTCAGAGTTTCAAGCAGCCATGGTCGTTCACTGGAACAAGTGATCGTGCTCCATTGATTTCGTTGGATAGGGCATGTGTTACGCATGTCACCAGATAGATTGCCGCGGCCAGCGATGTTTACCGAGGCGGGTAGCGGTTGCAAAAAGATTAAGGGCAGTTAAACTAAAACCTGGCATGAGGGCATGAAAACCCTAANTAACCAGGGAACTGGGTCACATAGGTCCTATTAGGCTCCCTGGATGGGGACCCTGGGATGATCGTAATCCATGGTTAGTGACACTGAGTGATATAGCTGAGAGTCGTAAGCAGTGGCGTTCGTGCATCGTCTCAATTTCTTTGCAACAAGAGTTCACTGAAATTCTCAATTTTCTCTTCGATTGTACTTTCAACCTTCCTGCAGCTCACCCAAATGGGCAACCAAAACCGGCGCATGGAAGTGCATGGTTAATGGCTGTACAAAGTAAAACTGAATGAAAGGTGTTTATTGCAGGATCTCAGATTCCCTGCATGCAGTGTCCTGCTGCATTTCTTAACCAGAGGCTGATATGCAAAACCTATTCTGTGTAGTTCAGATGCCGACTTAGATTGTTTGAGACCCGCGGTATCCAAAAGAGACTGTTAAGTTTGATCGAAGGCTTCTCACTTTGATTTTCCAAGCAAGTTGGATGCACGTCCCAGATCAAGTCTGGACTGAACTTCAAATTTATATTTTGTCACCCATGGTTTGAGGAACAAACGTGCTATGTAGAAACTGACAGCTAAATCGGAGAACTATCAAACAAATAAGTTACTCTAACTGATCGGCCTAAAGTCATTAATTTTGCGCACAATTAGATCCAAATATGGAAGGTGAGTCGTGAGGTGGATGCTATCGGATAATGGTGTTGAAAAGTCACGCTTTACAATCTATCGGGACCATATAGCATCTCAGATGAGGTGCTCCTTCGGTTATATAAACTTGGCAGCGGAAATGAACCAACCGGGGTTTCAACCGCGCCTCCACGGAGTTCGATGTATGCGAAAGCGATCACGGGGATAGATGAAACTGCACTCGTCGGTGAGTTTAAATTTGAATCCAGTGAACCGGCCTGGTAGCCTCATTCCCAAGTCAAACGTCAAACAAGCAGTTTGAAAATCTTTTCGATCGGAAAGACCCCTAGTGTCACAGAGGATGCATTCCAACACACACAAGCAAACGTCACAATCGAACTCTAAGGTCATTGCTTGAATCACTCATTCGGAAGCAGAATGGGTGCTGGATGCCACAGATGGACCTACTAAACTGTACGAACTCTTGCAGATAAAACAAGAAACAAGAAATGCAAGCAAAGCTTACCGGTCTAAGGCACGATAGTACCGATCCAAATCGGAGCTGGCTAATTCTGTTGTCTAAAATTGAAAACAGGTGCGGAGTGGCCGTTAGAAATACATTTATTACACACGATCAAAC